ACGGCACGCGAAAGTTTCCCGCTTTCACTGCCGTTCCGGTCTTGGCCTTCCCGTCCTTGCATCGTATAAAGGTCCCTAATGTTGCTTGTGATGTAGAGGACAATAATGCCATGTACTCAGATTTCAAACAATATTTCGCAATGTAGAACAGAATCTGCAATCAGGCCGGTTACATCACTGGACGACTCAAATGGCACAGAAATCACAAATTCACTGTTCGCGGTAATTCATTCCTCTCAAGGAAACTCGAATCCCTTTCGAGGGATTATTCAACCTTTTCGAGGGATTATTCAGCCCTTTCGAGATATTTCAAGGGATGAACTATGAATTGTCAAGCTTGCTCATGACGAAGAGTCTTTTTTTACTCGATTGTTTTTTTAAACAAAATTTGAACAAGAAAATTGTTGTTCTTCTGGTAGGAATTAAAAATGTTATCCAGAATGTTTGTCAGAGTTCAGTTTGATAATAAGAATTACCTCTTGTCAGAAAAGAAGCTTTTGTCATCTGGAGACATTGAATTAAACCCAGGTCCTGCAGAGATTCCTAATCCACTTACCTACGGCCATGGATTCATGAGCTCATCGAGCACCTATTTTTAACTCGTGTACAGGTGGTAGTGGTGGATCAGATTATGCAAATTAGGGTTGGTCGATTATTTGTTAAACCTCCCATCGTAATTCCTTTCAACTACCGGGGCCTGATTTTGAGCTGAAATGTCTCAGTGTTATTGATCGTCATATTTAGAAATACATATGAGAAGTTTGAAAATCCAAAACAGTTGACCACAATTTGCATTGATAGAAAGACGATTTTCTTCCGACTTTTAAGCTCCATTCTTTTTGGTTGACCGTTTTCGCTGATCAAGAAAAACAACAGGCTCACCTAGTGAAGTAAATGACGTTTTGTATTCGTTTGATGTATAGTTTGTTTAGAAAAGANAGGACAATAATGCCATGTACTCAGATTTCAAACAATATTTCGCAATGTAGAACAGAATCTGCAATCAGGCCGGTTACATCACTGGGCGACTCAAATGGCACAGAAATCACAAATTCACTGTTCGCGGTAATTCATTCCTCTCAAGGAAACTCGAATCCCTTTCGAGGGATTATTCAATCTTTTCGAGGGATTATTCAGCCCTTTCGAGATATTTCAAGGGATGAACTATGAATTGTCGAGCTTGCTCATGACGAAGAGTCTTTTTTTACTCGATTGTTTTTTTTAAACAAAATTTGAACGAGAAAAGTGTTGTTCTTCTGGTAGGAATTAAAAATGTTATCAGAATGTTTGTCAGAGTTCAGTTTGATAATAAGAACTACCTCTTGTCAGAAAAGAAGCTTTTGTCGTCTGGAGACATTGAATTAAACCCACGTCCTGCGGAGATTCCTAATCCACTCACCTACGGCCATGGATTCATGAGCTCATCGAGCACCTATTTTTAACTCGTGTACAGGTGGTAGTGGTGGATCAGATTATGCAAATTAGGGTTGGTCGATTATTTGTTAAACCTCCCATCGTAATTCCTTTCAACTACCGGGGCCTGATTTTGAGCTGAAATGTCTCAGTGTTATTGATCGTCATATTTAGAAATACATATGAGAAGTTTGAAAATCCAAAACAGTTGACCACAATTTGCATTGATAGAAAGACGATTTTCTTCCGACTTTTAAGCTCCATTCTTTTTGGTTGACCGTTTTCGCTGATCAAGAAAAACAACAGGCTCACCTAGTGAAGTAAATGACGTTTTGTATTCGTTTGATGTATAGTTTGT